CTTTGTGTTAAAATCATCTTATCACGGTTAACGGTCTACTACTGAACTCAGCTGATCCATCAACTCAAAAGAGTCGATACAATGTCCTATACACGGCGACGGCGGTACATCACTGTATACCGACAAAGATGTGCACCCACTGATGAATACCTACACTGCCGATTGACACGGAGGTGAAAGATGTACTCATGAAGGTTGTTCGCTCTTCCATCGCGCTCTTACTATCGCACTCTCACTATCAGTGACCAGCAGACAGATACAATCACAATTTTCGACATTCTAATCGCACCCTCAGCACCATCATACACCTCTCGGCCTTTGCAGTTGCACGAAATTAACAATGTCTACAGGATTTACTGGCGAGCGATTCAAGTACCCTGATGACGAATGTCTAACAGCGTACACCAAGGCTTTGGAAAAAGGTAGACTGCTGCATACACAGGCTCATTCTGACCAACCCAGCATTCCCCGGAGCGAGTTCCAATCCGTCTCCGACATTGAAGAGTGGGGCTATGTTCTGGATGTTAAAACCGACACCCGGATAGGGATTATGTGTTCGGCGCAACATGTGCTAGAAACTACCAGGAACGGCGAGACCTACCTGGCCACCGACGCCTGGTTTCTCAATAATATATATCTTGATGATGGCATGATCGAATCGGCGGCTAACTACGCGCCTCACGCGTTGGCATCGGGCTTGGTGAAATCCGTAGACCAGCCGGCGCGCGCAACAGTATCTACGCTGTTGCCCAAACTATGCCACTGGAGCGACATGGCATACCTCATTTGGCTGCATGTTACAAGCAAAGAGTCGCCAAAGCCTGTGTTACGCACCGTCTCTCACTACGGGGACAGTGTTGCGTCTGAAATGGTAGTGCAGCATGTAACAGCTGGAGTACAGCCGCGCAAATCTGGGCCTTATCTCGAATACGAGTTTGATGCAGACTCAGACGAAGGCTTAGCGATACTTGGAACGCCTGAAGGAGCTGGTACCGCCTACCTACTGGTACAACATAGGGAGGGGTTGGGTCGTCGGGTTGTCGACAAGATTGTTGCTTCTGATTTCGCGGATCCAGAATCTAGGCACTTGCAAATTCTGTTTCACATCAAAGAGGCGGAGAAGGTAGATGGACACGGCATTTAGTTGAACGTAGTCGGTGTCTGGACGCATCATGTAGTTGATCGTAGTCAGTTGCTAATTGATATTCGATAATTCGAATATGTCGTCGCACATTGTTCGGCTCGAACAGTGCATTGACCTTCCACACTCTCCCCCTTGCATCTGACAACACGATCTAGTCATCTTGGCTTATCCTCTCTGCCATCACAGCCTGGTTCTTCTCGTTGGCATGTGCAAACTCCCTGTATCTCTGCTCCTCATCTGACTTGCTCGCCCTTACAACTCTTCGGTTCTCTTTGTTGAGCCCCATACAGAGCCTTGGGTTCTCGTAGAACATAATGTCGATTTGCTCAAGCGTGCGTCCGGAAGTCTCGACGCCAAAGAAGTAAGTCAGCGGTACAAAGGACGCGCAGACAGCTGCCCAGACCCAGAAGTAATGGCCGCGGATGTTGTCAAGACCGATTGGGGTAACCATGACGACAACGAAGTTGGACATCCAGTGTGAGAAGACGCCAACCGCGGTTGCCTTGTTGCGGACACGGAGAGGTTGGATTTCGGCTGAGTAAGACCATGATACGGGCAATATACCGAGAGTGAAGCAGTCGAGGTACAAGAAGATGAAGGCTACAGCTGCTGCCGCGCTGGCAAAGCTGTTTTTCGCCAGACATCCGGCGATGATAGCCATGCATGCTGCGCAACCGGCTGACGAGCCCATGACTGACCATCGACGCCCGATCTTGTCGATGTAGAAGTAAGGTGGCCAAGAGAACACGGCATACTGAGTGAAGGCCACGGAGGCAAGGATGAGAGACATGCTCGGAGAGTAACCGAGGTACTGCTGGAAGATGTAGGCGAGATAGTAGCACAGCGCGTTGATACCGCTCCACTGATTCATCATGTACGGGCCCATTCCGAGAAGAACACGGTGTAGATTGCGGGTCTTGGTGGCGTTGCTGAAGACTTCGCCCCAGGTGGGCTCCTCTTCGCTGCTCTCTGCCGCAATAGCGTCAAGAATCTCCTGGAGTTGGCCTTGCACTTCTTCGTCGTCCAGAGGCTTGTCCAAAAGTCGGCTGATAGTGTGTTTCGCCTCGTCGATCTTTCCACGCGATGCAAGCCATCTTGGTGTTTCGCACAGGAACGGGCAGAGCGCCAAGACCATGAGCGAGAAGAGGATCTGGCAAGCGACAGGAAATCTCCACTGCAATGAGCTTTCGGCGTACAGTGTCGCAAAGCACAGCCAAGAAGCGACTGCGACACCGATGATGATCAGAGCGGACTGAACGACGAGCAGCGAGCCACGGTTGTGCGCCGGCAATGTCTCTGACTGTAGGATTGGCACTGCAACCGTTGACAGCCCGACGCCGATACCACCAATGATGCGCGAGACAAACATCTGCCAGTAGTCAAAGCTGGCAGTTTGTATAGCAGCACCGATAACGACGATGAGGTTGGCGAGGATGATAGAACGCTTGCGTCCGATGCGTTCACCGAAGACGAAAGCCACAACGGCACCAAGCGCGCATCCAATATCGTAGATAGCGGTAACTAGTCCGGTCATCGTTGGATTCGGGTTGCCGAGGGTATCCTTGAAGCGCTGGCCACCCAGGATACCGCCGAAAAGTCCTTGATCATCTTCAATCGTGTTAGCTATCGGACCACGATGTAAAGTGAATTGCTTCAGGCTTACATCCGAAGAGAAGGAAGTCAAGACCAGAGGTCAATAGAATGACTGCGATGAGGCTCTTGCCTCTTAGTTCAAACATGATGAAGAAGACCCTGAACCCAATAGTCTGGCAAGCAGGAAGGGACTGCAGAACAATATGATCGTGAACCAAACATGTGGGCCGCAAACATGTATCCTTTATACTCGCAACCCCGTAGAGATGTGCACCGGCATCTCCTCATCCAGTTTAACGTCGATGCTTCTAATGTAGCGCCAGGTATCCATGTGGGATTTCTTAGCGGACCGTGTCCGGGGAAATTATGGATATGCGGGGAAGCGAATGCGGAGGTGAGAGATGTCAAAGCTTGCGCGAGAACAAGGCTTCGAGCAGGTACATTCATGGCGTTGCATCTGGGCTGAAGTCATGCTAGCTGGGCCGGCTGGGCGAGAATGCGGGGTTCCGCTTTAGGAAATGCCGCGTCCTGAGTGCGGAAGGTTTGCCGCGATTGAAGCACCAGGTGATTTCGCTGGTTCCTGTCAGCCGTCAGGATGAACTCCAGATAGCACAAATGATGACTCGTACTGTCTTGTTGTTTTTTGTTGATGGAATGTCGCATCGTACAAGCCTGGACTGCCATATCATCAGCTGTCAAGCCAGGGGTCTCGAAAACGTGCGAACGATTTCGCGATGCGCGTAGGGGAGGCTTATGTCCGTGATCAGAGCGTCGGATCGGAGTACTGCGAGGACAAGGGTGAATACCCGTGCATGATGCCCGGGCATCTGGGAGTATAGATAAAGATTTTAAGCTCCCTGCAAGTTTTGGTTGATAGAGATGATGGATTCGCTTTTCCTGAAATATCAACACGTCGAGTGGATTCGATATACGCAGATGAGAATGTGGAAAAAGACTTCGTGAGAGTATTTGATAAGTAAGAGTACATCTCAGGTATGTGTACCGTGCTTGTACATCACCTTCATGCCGCGGCACAACCCTCCATAATGAGACTCATGAGTATTGCCGCAAAAGATAATCTTGATGCTCGTGCTCCTTTCCAGTTCCACCGTCTGGTGGCATTCCCACATTTTCACGGAGCGTGTGGTTCTCTCATTCCAGCTCACCTAACATCTCTCTTGTCGCGCTCAAGCTCTTGGTATCTCCGTAGATCGCCGCGATCAGACTTCCATCGATTTTCGGGAATTCGCGTTGGAGCACTTCGACGTTATCATCATCATCGTCTTTTCTTCCTGCTGCCTCGTAACTCTGCATGACCTCAATTTGGTGAGAGCGGTCCTGTCCGGTGGGAAGTGCCATCTCCGTAGCTGTGCGACGAGGTGGTAGACCTGGTGGGACTTCGTCTTGTCCAGGGTAAGAAGACTGATTTGGATAGGAAGGCTGAGGCTGTTGTTGCTGATGGTAGGGTTGCTCAGAGAGTCCATGGGGTTGGGACTGCATGAATGGGTTGTGCGATTGGGCTTGGCTTGGCTCTTGGCTCCATGGAGAGGTATCCTGGTGTTGAGGGGGGTATTGCGCATACGGCTCTTGAGGAGGATGTTGGCCTAGCGGATTTGGGGGTGGCTGTTGAGCATACGGATTTGGAGGCGGGTCTTGCGGCGGTTGGTAGGCTTGGTAGGGGTTGTGGCTCGGGTTGCTCTGGCCTTGTTGGTTTCCTTGGTCCGCCCACGGGTTGTCGTTGTGGTTGGAGGCCATGACTGCAATCTGTGTACTGCTCGATGTTCGTGTGATAGGGATTTCGAGGGTTCGAAAAGGAGTGCAGCGCGCTTGTTTGGCAAGCAGGAAATCTTTGAGGCTCAGGGCTGACTGTTGGCTGACGAGTACGTGAAGGCGCGGTGGACGATGACGTACGCTTAGCGCACGTGCCTCTTCGCCCCGCTTCGACCAACAGAGGCCAGGCGCGTACTTGCTGCGAGGTCTAGAGAAACTTCGTACACTGGGCCACGGGTCGTATGTCAAAACTACGTTGTCAAGACAGTCGCCTCGACTTCCACCACCATTGTGCTCCGTAACCATGTTCAGGGTGACAAGTAATCAGCGCGATGTGTGCAAGGAGCCTCGCCGGAAGCGGACACCCCTTGCATAACGCGGGCTGCTCCTTCAAGGTGCTTCTAAAGTACTATATATGAGCAAGCCAGGTAGGATGCGTAATTGTATCTTCATATTCACTGTATGAGAACACGTCCTCTCCATCGTTGCAGTCATGGCAGCGCTGAGCTTTCAGCCCTTTGTCCTCCGTTTGTTCAACGCGCCACTAGGTGTTGACTTCCTACGCAACTTGAGTGCCAAGATCTCACCTTTCTTCAACTATGAGCACGATCGATTATTTGCGTATATCAGTGATTATAAGAGGAGAAATTTACGGCGAAAGATGAGAGAAAAGAGGCTGGAGGACAAAAGGCATGGTAGGCGATGTTGCGCATCTTGCTCGCCGTGTTGAACAGGCTAACAACATATTAGAGAAGCAGCAACAACGCGCCGAAGAAAGGGAAAAACAGCAGAAAAACAATTCATGGAAAGAAAGGAACCGCGAAGCACAAATGAAACTCAAAGCCAAGATCTTGCAGAAGAAGAAAAGTACCTAGGTGAGTCCATGTCCAGCGGAAAACCATCGCCTGTGACGGTCATACATCAGCAAGATCATATCGTTGACTCTCGGCAGGCGGTAGTCATACCAAAACTCGTTAAGATCTCGACTTTCGTGTCAGATGGCGTTATTGTTCCTAACATTAACCCGAACACAATGGATGTACAGACTGCGCTCAAAGTTCCAAAGACTCCAAGGTTATTCCAAAGCTATGCCAGTCGCTCTAACATGTAGCCAATGTCTTACTCCGGGAGGTGGGAGGAGTAATGATGAAGATACATTGTTTGCTCGTACACACAGGTAGAGTCGGAGGAACTGTCTCCGTATCACATCGTTCTGCGTCTCTCGAGTTCAATTCCGTTGGTTCTCTCCACGTCTACTTAGCAACGTCAGTAGGTGTAAATGCAAAGTATGATGGAACGACGAACCCAGACTCTTGCATCCCCTTGCGCTTCTACTCTTTACCAGATGCCATAACAGTAAACCGGTCGGTGGGCACGTTCCGAGTAGCGTGACGAACGCAATGATGGCTTCGGTGGACCAGGAAGGCATGTTGACTAATACTCGAGATTGATTGAGGTATGAAGGTAGCAAGGTATCAAGATAACAAGGTATCAAGACAGCAAGATATATAGCAAGGATCTAGGACCCTCTGTAAGTGTTGAAGAATCTCAGTCGGTCTAAATGCAAGATCATGGCATCAATTGTATACAAGTCAGGTTCCGCATCATTGGCTGAAGAGGGAGGACAGCATCACGTGGCATGTCTCGGTACATGTATATCTCTGGTTTTGCATGATTGGTTGGTCAGGCTATGTCTTGCATGCATAACACTGGAATTGAGGCTAGCTCAGCATACTCAGGTTTCGCGTGATTGGTGCACTCCTGTTCAAGCCGACCACGAAACCGACATATAAGGATATATCTTTCTCTGCACCGTCACGCACCTTCTTTTCTTCACTCTGCATTCCCGCTCCAGATTTCAACTTCGGTCAGCTCTCAACTTGAGCGGTGACCACTCCCCCTTTCCACCACGATGGCGAGAGTACTCGCAGGACGGATTCCCGACGAGGTCTGGAACTCTCACAAGCTTGCTATTGGCGAGCTGTACATTGGAGAAGACAGAAAGCTCTGCGGTCACGAAGGCGTCATGGACATCATGACGAGGCGTTACAGTTTCTCGCCCAGGTATGCATGGATTCAGACTGAATACACTGCATTAGGCTGATTTTCGCACGGTAAATCGCAGTACGAAAGCAAGATTGCCTCCTGGGGTATGCGCAAGAAGATCACTGACAAGGAATGGAACGCGATCTTGCCTCGCGTACAAGAAAGAGAAGAACGTGGTCGACAGACACATATTCTTTTCAACGGTGTTCTTGTCGACGGGAAGCGTATAGGAAGAGAGCTAGATCGCCGCCGTTCCAACTCCAACATGCGCCAGGGTTTTGTGCAAGGTATGGAATCCCAATACATGCTCTCATACGACTAATCCAAAATAGTTGTGGACCCTGGAACTCCTCCGGGCTTCACAATACAATCGCCCCCAAACACGGCCAACACACATGAGGATGAGATCATGTCAGAGCCGAGTCCTCCGCCTCTTGATGAAGCTTTTGATGGCAGTCAGAGCCAAGGGTCAACGTCTCAGACCGCACCCATTAAGACAGAGCCATTGCCGTCAAGGCTGCGAACAAGAAGGTCGCCACGATTTCCAGCGAAACTGTGGTGTAGTACCAGTGGGTCCGAAGTGTATTGGCTTTGGGCCTGTTGTGCATGTAACTCCGACGGGATGAATTCGGTGAAGATGGATATAGGTTGTGGATACTGTGGCAATCACTGGCGTTGCGTTCACTGTGAAGTGGTGGGTACATGTGGATGTGGGAAACGCTACCGATGAAACGGACGCCATGTGAGGCGGCTCAGCGCTCTTTACCTTTACGAGGTAACAAAGACGACGCCCAAGGTAGAGCTAAGTAAGTTGGTCAGTCACCCCAAAGATGGTAGGAAGAACTACAAAATTTGAGAATTGACTGTTGCTCGACATCTTACGAGTGAAGTTACGTCTCATCCTTATCCTGAACAGCCATAGGCTACGATGCAACGTATCTACGCAGGCTCTTCAGTCTTTGCCCGCTTGCCCTCCGCACCGCCGTCATCGACTTCCAGTTTCCTCTTGCTACTACCGGCGTCACTTGACGCTGATGCTGCCGGTGCAGGCGCTTTGACCTTCTTCTTCACCATGCCCGAAACATCATTTGCGCTCTTGGTGGCTTCTGCAATCTTTGCCTTTTGCGTCGCTGCATCTGCTCCCAACAGCCCACCGAGCAGTCCCTTGAACACCGACGAGTCGATGCTGTCGAACTCCTGCTTATTGGGATCTGACTTGAGGTCCACAAGACGGGTCTTGAGATCCTCGAGCATGCCCTTTTTGTCTTCGATGATGGCTTGCTTCTCCTTCTTCTGCTCTGGCTTCAGCGCGTCGGAACTGACTGCTGTCTCCTCCTTCTTCAAGCGCGCTTCCAGACTTTGTATGGCGAGGTCTGTTTGTTCAGCAGCCTCCTTCCGCAGATCCCAGTTAATGCCATCCTCGTCTTCCTTTCCTTGTTCCTGCTTAGCGGACGCATCGGTTGTTTGTCCAGTCTGGTCTTCCCGTACTTTTGAGACGGATGCGAACTCGAGCGCAAGGGAAAGGGAGTAGTGGGCTTCTGTGACGTTCTCGTGCTCGAAGGGGTATAGTTCCTCTTGTAGTGCAAGCGCTTTGCGGGCGTCGGATATGGCGTCGTGGAATCGTTCGTTCTCTAGCGAGATCTCGACGAGGAAACCGTGGCAGTCGGCGATGCGCTCCTTGATGACGCGCGCCTTCGGGCTCAGCTCCACCTTGCCTTTGCCCTTGTCTGAATCGTCTCCTTCTGGGGCGTCTAATTGCCTCTCATACAGGACGCGCGCTAGCTCGAAGATCTCGTACGCGTTGCCGAGGTCGTCATCGTCCTCCTCTTCTTCACCATCCTGCATGTCGTCGTCTTCATCCTCGGAATCAGTCCAGTTCTCGTCGCCCTGAAGCTGAAAGAATGGCGTCTCTCCGACTGCCTTTTCCTTTGGCTCGGGCTTCGCGGCGCTCGAAGCTTCACCCGCCTCAGCTTTCGCGGCCTTCTTTGCCTTTGGCTTCTTCTTCTCCTCTTTTGCCACCTTGTTGCCTAGAACATCGCTCTTGGCGACTGCCGACCTGTAGAGTGCGCGCCCGTAGTAGAAGAGGAGCTCGGCGTTCTCAGGCGCCATCTCGCCGTTGAGTTCAGCTTGGATCTCGACGGCATCGGCGTAGTGTTCGGCAGCGGCGTCGTAGTTCTTGGTCGAGTAGTGGATAGAAGCAGCCTGCGATAGCTCTCCCATCTTCTCTTTCGTTCTGGGCATGTCTTCGGTCTCGGTGACGGTCGCGAGCGGTTCAGTGGCAGGGTCGGCCATTGCGTGAGATTTATCGTGTTTGTGTGAGAGATCCAGCGTATGCGACAACGACTTGAGAGTTTTCAGGTCGTAAGAGTAAGCGTGAAGGATGCTGAGTGTCGTGTTTGGGCAAGAGGCTCGGTGGTTGCCAGGAAAAGTAGCTCCGTCTCTAGCGCGAAATCGCGCTGGAACGCGTCGCACGCGTAAAGTGGAATCCCATGCGTGCCCATTACCACATTGCGACACAGCACAACTTCACCTTCACCACACCCAATATGGCCACCTCAAGAAGACCCGAAAAGCCCTCGGCGGTACCCTCAGATCTCATCCCGTCCTCATCGCCAGCGTTCGGAACCCCGGTTCATCCCATCAATCCCCGCAGAACCGCCCCCATACGCGCCCCGCCTGCACTCAAGCCAGTCGGGAAGTCCACTGTGCTCCCTATACTGCTTCCTCCGGCCACACTACGACCGCTCGCGTTTCGAACGTTCACCAAAAAGCACAATCTCACCCTCACATCTTCCGCCCTCCAAGCACTAGCAACGTTTGTAGGAAAGCACTGTGGTTCGGGATGGAGAGAGGAAGGCCTGGCCGAAAAGGTCTTGGAGGAGATCGCTAAGAGCTGGAAGAAGTGCGGTGGCCAGGTCATCGTGGAAGGCGACAATGAGACGCTCAAGGGCATACTCAAGACACTCGAAGGCTCAATGAGTGGAGGAAGGGTGGTCCAAGGCTCAAATCTGGGCAGGCAAAGCAGCTTCAACTTTGGGCCTGAGATAGCTGGCCAGATGAACCGCCCGAGTATCGACACCAACAACAGTTTCGGCATGTCCAGCCTGGAAGTAGAGGACAAGGACGAGGAAGAGGATCTGTTGAAAGATCCCAGGGAGTGGATGAAGGTCATTGGCGCGTTCGAGCAGCCAAAGTTGATATACAATGCCACCCAGAAGCACTTTGAAAAGTATGTACCAGTCGAGAGAGAACCGATTGTTTACTAATTATGTCAGGTCTGCCAAAAAGCCATCGCTGTTCCCCGATCCCTCACACAAGACCGAGCTCTTCCGTCAACGCTACCACATCGTACACCAGCGCATACTCCGCAACGAGACGTTCCAAGCACCTACTTTCTCTACGGCTCGTTCTGCTACCCTCAACCGGACGGGATCAATCGCGACGTCACAAATGAACAGTATCACCCCAATTGCCAACTTGCTTGGTCGAACCGGAAGCACGCATTTGCTGCTAGGCATGCTCACAGTTTCGGCCACTGGTGCGCTTTCACTCTCAGACCTCACAGGCACAATCACGCTAGACATCCAACACGCTCGTCCAATCCCCGAGAATGGCGCATACTTCGCACCAGGTATGATTGTTCTGGTCGAAGGCAGCTACGAAGAGGACGCCGGAGCCACATCAACTCTGGGAGGCAGCGGTGGTATTGGTGGCACCATAGGCGGCAAGTTCCTTGGCTTCTCGGTCGGACACCCTCCCAGTGAACGCCGAACAGCAACTTTGGGCGGCGCCGAAGAGGTCGACAAGAACAGCTTGGCTGGACCAGCGTTCGGGTGGACTGACTTCTTAGGCGTCGGTTCTCAACGTGCAACCGGCACCCGTATGAACAAGATCGCATCAAAGCTTCTGGATCAAGAAACAGCACACAACATTGTCATAGCCTCAGACCTTCATTTGGACGTTCCATCGACGTTGTCCGCCCTCCGCACCTTATTACGCACATACACACCCGATCCTACCGACGCCCACCCAGTCTACCCTCTAGCGATCATCCTGATGGGAAACTTCAGTTCGAAAGCCAGTCTTGCAGGTGTGCCAGGAACAGGCAGCATCGAGTACAAAGAGCACTTCGATGCACTTGCCTCCGTCCTTGCAGACTTCCAACCGCTCATCGCACACACTACCCTCGTCCTCGTCCCCGGCGACAACGACGCCTGGCCGAGTGCATTCTCAGCCGGCGCCGCTACTCCACTACCACGAAAGCCCATCCCAACAATGTTCACAAGCAGAATCCGGAAAGTGGTAGCCGAAGCCAACAGAGAGATATGGGGCGCAGGCAAAGCAAAGGGTAAAGAAGGAGAAGTGATCTGGACCTCCAACCCCTCGCGCCTGAGCTGGTTCGGCGTAAAAGGCGAGATGGCAATTCTAAGAGACGACGTAGCCGGTAGGCTGCAAAGACAGTCGATACGATTCAACAAGCCACCAGCCGATGTAGACGACGAGATGCCATATGCACCAAGTCATCAACAGCAAGAAGCAGAGCAGCAAGACGCCATGGATCTCGATCTCAGGATGCCGCCACCGCGACCACAGCAACAGCAACAAGATGTTGATCTTGATACGCAGACTGCACGAGCGCTCACGCGGACAATTCTCTCGCAATCACATCTCAGCCCCTTCCCGCTTTCGGCACGGCCGTTACATTGGGACTTTGCGCATACGCTGAATCTCTACCCGTTGCCAACAAGCTTGGTACTAGCGGATAGCGAGGCGCCGGCGTTCGTGGTGAAGTACTTTGGCTGCACGGTCATGAATCCGGGGAGTATAGATGAGAGCGGTGGAAGAGGAAGGAGAGAAGGGAGAGCGCGATGGGTGGAGTTTGATATTAGGACTTCGGCTGGTACTGTGAGGATGGAAGGGTGATATTAGATAATGTGAATGTTTACGATCTTCTTTTCATCGGCGTTGCTGTCTTGTACACACAGGGACCACCCCATCCAAGGGAAAAACTGGACAGATACCTCCACGAAGTAAATTCAAAACAGCTAATAAGGCTACATTGCCTTGACACTTCTTAAACTTATCTTGTATGTGTAATGTAAGCTTTAGCGCACCTGTTTAATTTTTCCCTTGCATAAGGTAGGATTACAGACTACATGGATGTATTGTGTTGCGTTTCTATGCACAAGAATACAATGTCTCCACCTAGACTATGCGGTTACGATAGAGATGCTATTTGAAATATCGAGTGTGCAACGCAAGAGTTCCATTAGAAATTATCTACATCGGTTTCCGTTCTTCCGCTTCATCCATCCAACCAAC